GTGATACATATTACGTTAAACTGTTTTTTTTTAACCTCTGAAATGGAGAGTCAAAAAGTACATATTCGTCATGTTATGCTTTGGGAATTTAAACGAGGCAATAGTGCTAAGACGACAGCTGAAATAAGGTGCAGTGTATATGGCGAAGGACTAATAACTGATCGCTCAGCCAGCTCAATCTTTGTCAGCTAGCTCACTCCTTGCTAGCTTGCCAGTTCAATCTTTGCCACCCTAGCCAGCTCACTCCTTACCAGCTAGCCAGCTCAATCTTTGCCAGCTAGCCAGCTCAATCTTTACCAGCTAGCCAGTTCAATCTTTGCCAGCTAGCCAGCTCACTTCTTGCTACCCTAGCCAGCTTACTCCTTGTCAGCTAGCCAGCTCACTCCTTGCCAGCTAGCCAGCTCAATCTTTGCCAGCTAGCCAGCTCAATCTTTGCCAGTTAGCCAGCTCAATCTTTGCCAACTAGTCAGCTCAATCTTTGCCAGCTAGCCAGCTCACTCCTTGCCAGCTAGCCAGCTCACTCCTTGCCAGCTAACCAACTCAATCTTTACCAGCTAGCCAGCTCACTCCTTGCCAACTAGCCAACTCATTCCTTTCCACTCTAGCCAATTCACTCCTTGCCACCCTAGCCAGCTCACTCCTTGTCAGCTAGCCAGCTCACTCCTTGCCAGCTAGCCATCTCACTCCTTGCTACCCTAGCCAGCTCACTCCTTGCCAGTTAGCCATTAGGCAGTTAGAAATTGGTTTATAAAATTCCGTTCTGGAGATACAACCTTAAAAGACGAACCTAGTGCGGGACGTCCTTCCGACTTTGACGACAATCTTTTAAAGGAAAGGAGCAAAGGCTTTGGAGCAAAATCCATGTCAATCAACAAGAGGTATAGCAGAAAGGTTGAATACATCACAATAACCTGTTAACCGCCACCTGGAGGAATTAGGGAAAGTCAGCAAGTTAGAAATATGGGCACCTCACAGTCTCAGTGAACGGAATAAAGAAGATCGCATGTAAATCGCCACAAGTCTGCTCTCACGGGTAAAAATTGACCCTTTTTTAAACAGGATTGTAACAGTCAAAGAAAAATGGGTTACCTATGACGATATGGTCCACAAAAAACAGTGGCTTGATAAGGATCAACCACCCCTACCAGATCCGAAAGCAAACATCCATAGCAAAAAGATTTCATTGTGTGTATGGTGGGATTGTCAAGGAATAATTCACCACGAGTTGTTCAAGTCTATTGTTAATGGGATAGAAATAGGAGATGCACTGTGGTCGAAAGTATAGGCACATATAACGATAACGAGCAGAAGACTTTATTGTATAAGGTGAAACACATAATGATCTGTTACGTTGTGTCTGGACGCGAACTCGCGACGATCTGATGAACGCACGGCACGGTGCTCGTCTTAAGAACGGTTCGATTTAACAATCGACGATCGCCCTAACCGAAAAGGGCGATTGCACGCCGTGTGCAAACCACGCCGTGTGCAAACCACGACGTGTGCAACGCTGAACCGTTAACGGATTCCGTCTCGTGATATACCACGAACGGTTTCCTGTGACAACAAAGTCAAATTTAACGATTACTGCGGATAGATACGTTGAGCAGTTGCAAAGAATGCAAGGGAAACTCCATGAAAAGCGTCCTGCATTCGTCAATCGCAAAAACGTCATTCTTTTACACGACAATGCGCGATCACATACAGCAAGGGTGACTCGAGAAAAAATTCTTGAGCTTGGATAGTCTGTTTTACCACATCCACCTTACTTCCTGGATCTTGCCCCGACAGATTACCACCTTTTCTGTTCCTTACAAAACGTTTTGAATGGAAAACCCTTTGATTCTGAAGAGCAAGTCGGACAGGATGTTGAAAACTTCTTCCAAGTCCAAACCAACCACATTTTAAAAGGAAGGAATTGATAAACTGCCAGGAAGATGGGAGAATATTATAGATAATAGTGGTGAATACATAATAAATTAATATAATTTTGTTATTTAATGAGAGCAAAATATATGTCTGATAAAAAAACGGAAGTTACTTATGACTCGACCTAATAATAGAATCTTTACACCGGTAAAACTGAAAAATTCCAATAACAACAGATAAATGTGTACGCCTTCGAGTAAAATGACCACGATTTTTTCCCCCACAATTTTTTATTCACTCCTCAGCTCATTATTGTCGGTGAAACGCGGTGCTGTATGAAACGTTGACGATTTCAACGAGCAGGGAATATAACGAGCAGAAAAATAAAGGTTGCATTCACCGTAAGGGCGAATATACGAAAAATCAGCGTGCCTTTTATTCGGAATAAATCCGCGGAAGATCCGCCCTCGTCGTGCAAACGTCGCCAAGAAAGATCAGCCACGGGGGGGGGGAATTTACCCTCCCTGGCGGAGGAGCGAATCGCGACGAAGTGTGCGGGTTTGCACGATGCTTGATGCCACGAACAAGGGAACTTTCAAATTTCTTCCGGCGATAATGGCCCGTTTCCTGGCGGGATTATGACATCGCCGCGCCTCGTCACGGAAAATCGCTCCATTGCCAGGCGTCACGTGAAGATTTTATCGGAGACAGGCGACCCGCCCGCCGATAAGGAAATTTCCCTCGCGATGAATTTCATTATTTCATCATTCGCGCGTTAATACGAACCGATAAGGTAATTGTCCCGCGTCACGGTCGCTCGATAACGAGTCCACGGGATAAAGGGTTGGCATCGATCGACTACTAGCGTTTCTATCGATCCCATTCGAACAGATAAGAAACTTAAATGTCTTCTTTCCACGATCAGTTATTCAAGGGAGGGCGAAAGAGGGTCTCGTTACAAGAAATCGTTCGAAGAAACCTGTTCCACGAATTGGTCTTACCTTTTTTTATTTTGTTGGAAGAAACATTGTAGGTTATTATTACAATCGAGTTTTCCTAGTGGCTCGATTCGAAAATGGGAATTTCATTAAGAACGTAATATGTACTCGATTCAAGTTTCATTTATGATTAATAAAATTTGAAGTATAGGTGCCTATACATTTTTGTGGAAAGGAGAATATATTTTTAGTTTTAAATATCATGTTGCAAAATTGCAATTGGTATTAATGTTTCGTTGAATATCGAGCAGCGAAATTAATTCATTTACTTGTTTTTTTAAGTATAGTTTGCTTAAAGTAGAGTCGCTTGGTCCCAGCGTATGCATAACTTGGACTTTGTCCGAGAGCGTTCAATTTAGTCGAGTATGGGGCCAAGTCGGCATTTGAATGTCACGAGAGGTGAATATCAGATGCGTGCAACACGGCGGCGTCTCCATGATTTCCTGAGAGCCTTGGTACACGGACTAATTGATGAGATTGTAGATCGATGGCGTCGCTGTCGCCGAGATTCAGGTCGTGTCCTCCACAGGGGTGCTCTCATTATCTTTCACCGAGACGCTTTGATTATTAGCGATTCTCCCCCGATTCGACACTTCCTAATTGTATTTCCATAATCTTAAAACTCGCCCTCTCGACGGGATCTTTAACCAACCGAACCGTCGCGTTCGTCTGGATTTTTAAAAACAAATTCTTTTAAAAAATCGACAGGGATAGGTGCAGAAATTTGTCGGTAAAATTAAAAAATTTCAAATCGTTTTGAAAAAATTATTTTCGGCTTCAGAGATCAATTACAATTATTCTTGGTGAATAGACATACCCTCGGAATCCTACGCAGTTCCGAGAAAAAAATTCGAGTAGGTGTCGAAATTTTTCAGTGAAATTAAAAAGTTTCAAATCATTCTGAAAAAATTATTACCCGCTGCAGGAGTCAATTACAATCATATTTAGTGAATAGATATACTCCTGAATTCCTACGCACTTTCGAGAAAAAAATTCGTGTCTGTGTCGAAATTTTTCGGTGAAATTAAAAAGTTTCGAATCATTTTGGAAAAATTATTTTCAGTTGCAGGAATCCATTGCAATCATTTTTGGTGGGTAGACATATCCCCTAATTCCCACGCACTTTCGAGAAAAAAAATTCTGTACCGCAAATATAATACCTGGCCAAAAAACGTTGCTCTGAAAGATGCGTATGTTTAAAACATCATAACTCCTGAACGAATTGGACGATTTTAAAGTTTCAAAACGCAAACAACGCGTATTTTGGTAAAGAATATGTAGAAATTCCAAAAATATTGGAAAAATTGTTCCTTGACCCCGTAAAATTAGAAAAACCCCATGAAAAATGGTCCAATATCCAAATAACCATAACTCCTACAATAGTGAATATATTTCAATGAAACTTTTTTCTGACGCAGAGCTCGAGGGCACCTACAAAAAAGTATTACACAACTTTTCAGTAGAACGTCAAACAAATTTATTAAAAATGAAAAACAAACTTTTAAGAAAAATCGACAGGCGGTAGGTGCCTAAATTTTTCGGTGAAAAAAAATTTCAAATCGTACTGAAAAAATTATTTTTGGTTCCTGGGGTCAAGTACAATCATTTTTGGTGAATAGACACACCCTCGAAATCCTACCCATTTTCTAGAAAAAAATTCGAGAACATGTGAAATTTTTCGACAAAATTAAAAAATTTCAAATCGTTCTGGAAAAATTATTTTCGGCTGCAGGGGTCAATTGCAATAATTTTTAGTTAATAGACATACCACTGAATTCCTACTCACTTTCGAGAAATAAATTCCTTACCGAAAATAGAATGTCTGACCAGAGACATGAGTAATTCCCCTGAAATTTCATACTAATGTTTAAAACATCATAACTTTTAAACGGATTGAAGGATTTTAATGTTTCTAAATGCGAACTAGGCGTATTTTGGTGAAGAATATATAGAAATTCTAAGAATGTTCGATAAGCTGTTGCTTAACTAAAATTCCACTTTTTTATGCTCCATTTCGACCGATAGATATACGCGTTTTATATCTTCGTCCCAGATTCTGGAATCGATCCTACGCTCGCGGACGATCATAGAAATGTTTCACGACTTAACGCGTCCGTCCTGTTTGTTTGTCAGGTCTGACAAAACGGATCCCAAAGGCATGGCCAGCAGCACGGAGGATTACGGTTCGGAATTGCAGGAGTTGCAGTGGGGTGGCGGTACCGGATCGCATTTCCTGCGCAGCGGCTCCCACTTCCTGAGAAGCGGCACCGGCGGTTGCTACGAGGCCGAGGATTTAGAACCCACCAGCAGGCACCATGGCGGTCAGCACAGGGGATATTACAGCCCTCCGGGTACGAGTTACACGATCGTCGAGAGACCACCGAGCGCCCCCCATCACCATTCGTCGCACACCACGCCGTACAGGCACAGGGGACACGCCACCGGGGGCACCGGCGCCATTTCGCCGGAGCAGGTGCTTAGGTACGTTCCTGTCCCTTCTTTCGGCCCTCCGTTTAATCCGTTCCTCGATGGAACGATCTTCATGAAAACCGTTGGAACGATCCTATATTTAACCCCTTCGCGGCGGGAGACTACGACGCTAAGCGTTATATGCGGACGTTGTTACAGCGATGCTCGACGTTTCGCGAGGAAATATCGTTCGTGCCCCTGACGTACACTCAAAATTAGGAACAACGAGTTTATTATAGACCCTGGTACCTTAAAAGCGAAGATAAGCCAATCGGTGAAGATGATACCAACGAGGGACGTTATTTTTTTTTAACACAGTTTTAACCTCCAATGCAGATTATTCTGCGACGAAATTTACGCCCTAAATTAGGAACAACGAGTTTATTATAGAAACAGTTACCTTAAAAGCGAAGATAAATCGATCGTTGAAGATGATACCAACGAGGAACGTTACTTTTTTTTTAATGCAGTTTTAACCCCCAATGGAGATTATTTTGCAACGATATTTACAGTAATGTCTATCATTACACGCTGCAATACGCTAATTTCGATGAAGTTTATGCGTCGGAGTAATATTTTCAGATAGAATTATTTGCAGGCGATTAGGAAGATTATTTTCGTCGGACGAGCAGGAGTTATATTAACGGAAGATGAACGCGGAAGAAGCATTATTCGGATGATGTGTGTACGCGCTGCATCGATACGCAGGAAGCATTTCCGTTTCCAATACCGAGGGTCTGCGATGCATATTATAAAAGAATACGTATTGTTACGATCTCCGGGTATTCACGAGCTCGGTGAAAATGTAGGATTCTTTTATGCACGTACTGAAACAATAGCATCAAAAGGATGTATCAAGAAACAGGGTCGCGTCTACTTAAACGCATAAAAACCGACGATGACGAAGAAAATATAATAATAATGAGTCTATTCATCCTTTTCAGGGTCAGTGAGAAAGTATAATTGTCAACGAAGACACTGTGTTTAAATTGGTTCGAAAAGATGATAATAATTTGAACTAAACAGAACGATTAATAATGTACTGTGTCGAATTTTCAATCATTTTTAAAATTATTTCTAAAATTGCCAGTGAAATGTAAATAGAATTAAATGTTCGTAATCGTTGTAGGCAAATGTAATATAACGTTTACTTGTTCCCGAATTCCTTTCGCTAGCTTTTATTATGCGTAATTAAAATACCGCAAGAACTTCTCTATCATTTTATTTTTGTGAATTTTAATTATATTAACACATTATACGTTGGAAACGTACTGCGTCGCCCGGAGACTGCTTTCCAACTTTCCGGAGGCTATTCGCTCTCACGTCAAACGCGGTCTCTCGCAGTACTGAAATTTTATATTCCTTTGCCGAATTACGAGTCCGACTTGTTCTAATTTCGTCGAAACAAAAATTTCTTTCCAGCTCTGCGGAGCAAATTTATAATCGATCGTTTTACAACGTTCTTTGGTAGATTGTAACGTACGTAACGATGTTTCAATACACAAGAATATAAGTCGAATAAAATCAACTGCCATGTTGTTACTTTGTGTGCAGTTATATAGTTTTTATGGGTTCAATAAACAAATTTAGTTTGCGCTTGAAACGTAATATTTCGTCCCCTTGTGTTCTAGTCAAGATCTTTTTACAAAAGAAGTATAAGTGTCTCTATAATATATTTATTTATATCAAGTAAATGCTGACAATCTTTTTCCCCAGCAAAAATAATTAATTTTTACAGGGACATTGTTCAATTACTTATAATTCAGTCAGTTTTGATTATTTTCCCTTTTATGTATACCCTTTTTCTAAAAAAAATGCCCAATCCAGACCACAAAAATTCTCGACTAGAATACTCCCCCTCACCCAAGAAACATTGTGTCAGAATATACAAAGATAACCCTCTACGATTGTCGAGTACCGCAAAGGCCAAAGTTCAAAGTTGAAAGCGACTGAAGAAATAATCGGTAAAAAATCTGGTCGCAGACTTTTTGGCAACGGGGTCTCGGAGCGGCGACAAGGCGACAGGAGGACGCCGGCGTCGTCCCCGGCGAGCGTCTCCGCCGTCAGGACCACGTCGTCCTCGGTGTCGCAGCAACAACAGCAGCAACAACAGTCCCAGCAGTCCCAGCAGAACCCATCGAATCCGCCTACGTCGCCGAGTTCTCAGCCACTGAGCCTCCAGGAGCTCACCGTAAGGACAATCACCATGACGAGAGATCCCCCGGACTCTCACCATGGCTTTGGGATCTGCGTGAAGGGTGGCAAGGACGCAGGTGAGATCCGAAGTACCTTCAGGCTACCCCCGTCGCCGTACTTCGCGCCTCAAGATCGAGGTATCTTTCGAAAACTGTTAACTTTCATTGCCGTTTCTAGCCGTTCACTAGACGCGACTGAGGACCATCAATTGCGATTGCTAGGAGGCGACGTCGACGAGAAACAAATAAACGAGATCGGACAATTTTTCGTCCATCCTCGAAGCGCGGAAAGCTCCCTTTTGCCATGGAAACGATCGAGTTCCTGGAATCTTTCGTTCGTATTTCGTTCAGATTCTGAATAGCTCGCGTCGCGTTCTATTTGATACAAGGAACTTGCAAACGTATTACGTGTTGCAATTTTATATGGGTTGTTGGATTTTTATTACCCTGTTGATCTCGTAAGATTTACCCATTGGAGAGTTTGATGATATTTGGAGACTCAACTTTTTGGTGTTTGAAATCCTATAATTTCTGATTTCGTTTTTGTTGATTTTGATAATTGAATTCCGTTCGATCGTGCACGTCAACTATCAATAACTGGGATATATCTATTGCAAAATATTAAGATAAGATTGTCCCAGTGGAGAGTTTAATGATACTTAGAGACTCAACTTATTGGTATTTAAAATTCTATAAGTTTTGAGATCGTTTTTCTTAATTTTGTATAAGTGAATTTCGTTCGATGGTGCACGTCAACTATCAACAACTGGGATATATCTATTAAAAAATATATTGAAACTTGCACGACGAGTATTAAATTTCTATTTAAAAATGTGTAAATAGTATCGATAACTGTGTATGTCTGTTAAAAGACATCTAAGAAGCGTTTTGTTTTCCCTTTCTTATTTTAGGCGCGATATATATAGTATAACTTGCCAACGCGAAGAAAATACTCCCCGCTGTGAAAAGAGTTATTTTTACGCGAGCACAAACTAATTCCCTCGTTAGGAGGTAATTGTACGGCTGAACAATTAAAACGGCGTGGCGACCAGTGACCCATGACACGAGCTCGATGATTGATAACCAATGATCCATGACACGAGCACGGGTACCTTAAATAGACTTTAACCGCGCGACACGCATCGATGTCAGTGTGCCATTCGACAGCTGAAGAAACGTTTCCCTCAAAGGGCTCTTAACTCTGAAGTCTCGATCAACGTCAACTGTCATAACCCTCGTTATGAAAGCCTCACATATCTCAACGTATTTTTTAATCGATATTTTGTCTCTCTCCAGATGGATCGAAACACGTTTCACGGTGAACATTTTCGCAATATACAATTCTAAACCAAATCAAACTGTATAATTTTCTATGAGACCAGAACTTTGTTTTTAGACAATCGTAAACTATATAAATTAAGATTTGTCTTTGTACTTCTATCTAACTATCATCTACTTAGTGTATCGGTTATGACTAACCTTATCGTTAGGGTAAATGAGTAATACTTATTTCTATGGGGGCCTACGGGATGACAGTACGATCGTTTCGGATAGAGGACGTCGTTTCTCAGCATGTGTCGAGACAAGGTTCATTCGCCATGGCATCGAACATTCAAGACGGTGCAACATCAATCGCGAGTTTATCAGAAACGCATCCACCAGTGATAATTGAATTAATCACTCTAGAGTAATTTGGTCGGTGATAGTTCGATCAATCACATCCACGACGGTCGATCTAGAGCTCCTCAGCTCCTAGATAATTTAAACAAACCTCTATCTATCAGTACTATCACTATCAAACTGAGATTTAATACTTGTCGAACGAGATCACGGGGGAATTTAATTGTTTTAACAGGCTTCTTTATAAATGACTTAAATTTCAAAACTTTTGTACGTGTTTCGAGAAAGTGCACATCGGAACGAAATTTTCTGCAGAATGTTTTATAATTCATTTTATTTTTAAAATCAAAGAGTCGTAAAAGAAGGTGTTTCGTTGGTATAACTCGAGGTAAAGAATTCTTTTGGGAGTAAAACTGTTTAGGGGACGCTGAGATCTAAGGTTTTTATTCTTTATCTATTTATATATAAAACGAAAGAACTCACTGACTCATCAACGACCAGGCTAAGCTTTTGGACATAAAAAGCTAAAGTTTTGCACAGAGGTTTCCTTTATGACGTATACAAGGAAAGGATATTTCGAAACTCAACCCCTAAGGGGGTGGAAAGGGGTTGCAACGTTTGTATGAGGGATTTATTTGAGACTTGGTCTTAATGCTCTTTGACATAATTAATCAAACACCTGTTTCGTCATTTTAAGAAATTCTACCTTTAGAGGGGTGAAAGGGGGTTGCAACGTTTGTATGAGGAATATTTTATTTGTGGTCGGATTTGCTTCAAACTTGGTCTTAATGCTCTTTGATATAATTGATCAAACACTTATTCCGGTTTTTTAAAAAATTCAACCTCTGAAGGGGTGAAAAGGGGTTGTAACGTTTGTATGAGGAATACTTTATTTGTGGTCGAATTTGCTTCAAACTTAGTCTTAATGCTCTTTGATATAATTAATCAAACACCTATTTCGACATTTTAAAAAATTCAACCTTTGAAGGGGTGAAAAGGGGTTGGAACGTTTGTATGGGACATATTTTTTATTCGTGGTCAGATTTACCTGATACTTGGTCCGAATGCTCATTGATACATGTTCATTAATTTAGCATTAAAGTTGCCTTATTTCCGTAAATGAACCTAGAAACTTCAAATTTAACATGTAAGTACGTAATTATTATCTTATCACTAAACTAAATATCAGTATGGGTGTCGTTATGAAGGTCTTTTGGGACGTTAATTACGAAAATGGTATCGATTTTGAAATGTAAGATGGCGACATGACATAAAATTAAGACTCTATAGAGGTGAATGGGGGCTTAAAAGGTTTTATGGAGAAACAATATCTATTTCGAAAGCTAGTATTGTATATTAACTGTGACAATCGCAATTGATATCCTCACATCGCGCCGCCCACTGCAATCTTCTCTCTCGTATTTCTATCGAGTTCACTTTTCGTTGGTAATCGTCGTGTCACCGACACCCTGTGCTTCCTGTGCTTCAGCACAGCTGCCACGTGTCCCTGATTTCCGGTATTATCGTTCTTGCGACGAATTTCGCGTCCACGGTGCGTCCGTGACGTCTTAAAAGTACAATAAAACAGGTAGCATTATTTTTCCTTAATAATTATTCGATGGAAAATTTGTCGTGCAACATTAAACTCTCGAAAAGATATTCATTTTGTTGTATCTATCAATGGAGTTTGTTAATGATATCGACGATAACCTTTTCAAATTTTCTTCTTAAAGTCATATCACTGATTTCGTCGCGGGAGCGAAAACGGGAATGCAGAGAGAAAACTTGTGTATTTTCGATCATTAAGCATCATTTCCATTCCAGCTTACGGTCTCCTTGACGGATGAAAGAACCAACATACCGATCGCGTTTCAACTCGATTTTCTCCCCTCTTGTTGTTCCCTCTGCGCGAAAAGAATATTCGCGTTTGTTACGCGTATCGGTGGCCAGAACGATGATGAAAGAAAACTGATTGATACGCGCCACGTTTCGTTTCCTTTTTCGTCGACGTTGGTGTGGCCCGCGATGAATTTCTCTGGAAAACTTTAATGTCGGAGCAGAAAGTGACTACGCAAACTAAGAAAATTGCATCGAATTCCATCTTTCGGTGTAATACTTTATATTGCGTTGTACGATAATTGTTACAACTAATTTACGTGTTAAATAAACTGGTCAGTATTTAAGGCTGGCTGGGCAAATTGGGACGGCATCAATTGGCTACTGAAGGCCATTGAGGACCCACCCGCGCCATTATAATACAATGCTGTGTCAGAACACTTGATATACAGTGGAATCTCTATTATGCGAATTAATAGGACAACATGACTATTGGAACAAAGGAATTTTCGTATAATGAAACTCCCACATTCCTCGCGTTGATTATTACGTGCTCAGGCTGGTGTAACAGAAATAGCAATTTGGAGTAAAGGTTTATGATTCCAGAAATCCGAATCTCACATTTTATAATTTGTCGAAATGTTTAAAATTTTACTATTCATCACGATACATTCGGTTTTTTCAAATTAAATATCTTCAAAATTTAATCAGAAATAAATTCGTTCTATTATTTTGTAGGAGGCTAACGGGCCTCTTTAGCTTGGAGAGGACAGGGTACAGGGGTTTTCCCATGACGTAGGCCGCTTTGTTCCTTACGGGAAAAGGGAAAGCGACAAAGGGATGGCAAGGCCAGGCAGGCCAGGTCATCAGATAGTTACAGCAAAGACTTTGACGAAGATTGTCATATACACTCGCGCGCGCCCGACTAATATATATCATTTATTTAAAATATCTCATCGTTATTAAAACTGGGAGGTGTTTATTTCGGGCTCCTGACAACGTCCTGTTTCCCTCCATACCCTCCCACAATTTATTAATTTGTCACGAAGATACAACCATTTAAATAAATTTGATGTTCAACCCATCCCAAATCCCATACCGGGTGTTCGGCTACCCCAAAATAAGACAAAAATCAAGAATACCAATTTGTTGATAGAGGCTTCGTAAAAAAGTTATTAACGTTTAAAGTTCCGCCAGTACTGAATTTTTTTCTCGAAAATGCGCAAGATTTCGGGGATATGTCTATTCACCAAAAATGATTGTAATTGAACCCCACAACCGAAAAGAATTTTTCCATAACGATTTGAAATTTTTTCCCCCATCGAAAAATTTCACACCTTCTCGAATTTTTTTCTCGAAAGTGGATAGGATTTCAAGGGTATGTCTAATGATAAAAAATGATTGTAATTGACCCTCGCAATCGAAAATAATTTTTCCAGAACGATTTGAAGTTTTCGAATTTAATTGTTAATAACTTTTTAACGAAGCCTCCATCAACAAATTAGTATTCTCGATTTTTCCCAGGGGTGTCCGTACACCCTGTATATTTTCGAAAACTCATTTTAAATTAATTTACAATAGCAAATTGATTCAAAATTAAATACTTCCAACCACAATATTCAATCAGAAATAAATTCATTCTATCATTTATTAATTTGTTACGAATATACAACCATTTAAAT